GTAGATTTAATTAAGCCTAGGAGATAGTGTGAGGAAGAAGACAGTTCAATCAAAAAGCTGAGGTCACAAGGGGCTGTTACTTTAAATAACTGCAAAATAGCCTGGAAGTGAACAATTCTTTTATCTTGGTGCCAGGTAATGTTTGGAGTGGAGAACAGGCAGAGCAGGGGAAGGAGAAGGGACAAGCCTATGAACATGTCAGCTTATGCAGGCTTAAGTTGTTCCTGAACTATGAGTTCAGTCACCCTCCCCTCTTGCAAAGGGGAGAGCTTATTGCAGGGCAATAAAGGCGTTTCCTCCGACAGTGTCTGCGATGGAGGATGATTGTGGGGATGGGCACATTCCTGATGAGATTTTGCCTTATGCGTCTGGATGAGAGCAGTCAGCACCCTTTTTTGTCCACAGTGTACCATGGATGAGAGCAGAGCTGGCCTGCAGGCTCTGGTTTCCTAGTGTCTGAGGCCAGGGAGAGCCCTCGTGTCCCTGGAGTGGTGTAGTGCTGAGACATGATGGCTTCTGTGTGCAGTGCTCGCCTGTCACCTCAGGTGAATTACATCACGTCAGTAATTCCAGATCAGTCTGTGTACAATGGTAGTTTATTTTCCTTCCTACTGTAACAGATAACATTAAGCTTGTACAGGCCTGTTCGATAACCACCAGAAATCCCAGTACAGTGAGATAAGCAATATTTAAGATGTCTTTTTCTTTTTTTTTTTTTAAACCTGAAACCGGTATATCAGATACTCCTCTTACATGCCTGAGGAGTCAGGTGTGCTGATCTGGTGGGAAATGCTTGGAGTGTCAACTGACAGTGTCTTTCATGTTAAAGTACAGGAGATGGCTTGATCTCCTAATGCCTTTCTGCTGATGCTGGAGTTGGAGGGGTACCAGGGGAATACCTCTACCTCTTTGACTAAGGCTGAAGACACAGCTAGTGCTGATTTTGTGTGCTGAAAGTACCATATCATGTAGATAAAAGCAAAGATACAGCCATCAAGTTCAGAGTTTGTATTTAATCTCTCGAAAGAGCCTTCAGATATTGATTCTGCTCTGGTTAAGGAGAGCCTGACCTTTCTTTGAGAATTCAAACTCCAAAGTCTGCTTTTTTCTTTTTTTTTTTTTTTTGTATGTGAACATTCAAAATCAGAAGTAATTTCTTCCATTCTGCACTTTCTGAGTGAGTGGCTCACATGGTGGTCAGCTGGGGCTGTTGAAATGGATTGCAGGTTCCACAGGACCAAGGGCTGTGTGGGGGTATTCCTGAGTGAAGTGTTGGGGTGAGCTGCTTTGGTTCTGGGGAGAAACAACACAGCTGTACCACGGCAGAGGCGCAGGTTGCACAGGCACTCTCTGGACAAAGTGAAAGAAACTTAATTTCACTCCACTTAAAGATGTCAGAAAGGGGGGGAAAAATTACAGAATCAAAAATGTTGGAGTTTGTGTATGGCATGCTAACTTTTCCTTGTTCTGAAATAACTTGCCTACTTATCATCTTTTATACCTTCTTTCTTAAAAATGCCCTCAGAATTGTTGCCTTCCTCACATGTTTTCACCAAACAGTGTTGCAGCTTGGTCTGCTCCCAAAGAGGAAAAGGTCCCCTAACAATATTACATCCTGTTCATGGTAAATGGTGATAGAGACGTTATAGGGGTTTGGCTTTTGCTATCCAAGAAAAGAACAGTCTATGGAATTTGCCCAAAGCTACACTGAGGCCTTTAAACCAAAATGAAGGGGTCTTTCATGTCTTAATTGAAGCGGAATTTGCTTGGTTTAAACAAAATGGTTCCAATGCCTAAACAAGCTGAGAAACTACTTTTGAGTGGGGGTAGAGGAGCTGACTTAGGGCTGGCATCCTTGAGTTGTCTTTGGTCAGGGGATTGTTTGGCCCTGAGATCTGAACCTTGCCTTGATGTGCTTTAATGCATGAGCAGATTGTGATTTTATTGCTAGAAGTGACTGCTGTTAAGCATGGATTAGGTTCCATTGCAGTCTGCTGAATATTGTGGGGTGAATGTTCTCCAGGACCTAGAATTTTCTTGGTTCACAATAGATTTATCTGTAGCCCACACAAGATTAGTACTGGATTATAATAATCTCCCTAAATGAATATGAAAAGACAGGTGTTTACTATGCAAAAGTTAATGCTCCCAGCTCTATGCTGCCCTTACACATTACATTTCTCTCCTGAATTGCCAAACCCTCAACATCATGTTTACAGGGAGCAGAAGTGTAATGGTAGAACAAGTGAAGTCTTTGCAGGGCAGTGTTTAATATAGGTATTGATATTGGTATAAATAGATACAAACTCTACTTTGCATTTAAGTCAACCTGATACAGGAAGGTAAAACTTTGATCCCAGTCATGCACTGTCCTTGTGTGCCCAATCTGCTTGTGCCCCAGCTCTTCCCTGCCACAACACACCATTGAGGTTCTTGTGCTTTATCTGTGCTAACCCATTTCCTCCAGATTTTGACCAGCAGGTACCTCCTGCAAAACTCCAAATCTAAAGAGGCAGGCTGTGTATCTCTAAAGACTTGAATAACTTACCCTCTTCAGTTTCACAGGGAATGAGAAAGGAAAGAGGCTGGGAAATGTTTAACTAAACAGGTCTTGCTTCTGTTTAGCAGTGAGCCCATTATTAGCCAAACAGGCAGCAGCTTAATTTCACCTCCTAGTGTCCTTTAAAAACTATTAGAGAAGCTTTACCTGAACCACAAAAGCTGACAACACCTGGATGATGAGCTTGGGTTTCTGTGAGGTTTTTGCCATGCACAACTAACTGACTTTTCTTTTGCTTTGCTGCAGTCTGGGGGGTTAGAAAGCTGACAGTTGAGGGCAGCTGCCGTGCTTGGGACACCTCTGCAGATGTCCCCTCAAATACCTTGTTTCCAGTGTGATGCTCGAGTCTCTGTCCAGGTCCTTGTTTCAAGGCCACGTAACACATTTCAATACCTGTCAGGGTGAGACCCATCCAGCAGCTCAGGGAGTGTTGGGTGGGAGTGATCCTAATGCTTTTATTCTAGAAGCACAGCAGTTGTCCTAAACGTGGTGCTGATGGAAATGGCCACTCTTCTGCCCTTGTTGAGCCAGTGTCAAAGCCACCAGCTGGTGCTTGCATGTGCTTATCTAAAGCAGAGCTGAAATTGCAAGAGAAATCTGTGGGGGTGAAAAGAGTGAGGAGGAATTAAAGCTGTCATCTAAAGACGTCTTTGTGAACTGATCAGCTTGAGACTTAAATGGAAGATGTTTTTTTCTTTAAGGGTAAAACTCATCCACAGCAGATGGCTTAGTAGCTGCAGTGGTTTTGCAGGCTGATGGTGATGTTTCATTAACAGGAGTCCCCACGCCGCGTCTTGTGTTGTGCATAACCACAAGCTATATTTGCTGTGAGACGCGCAGAAGCGAAGGGACATAAGGCAGAACAAGCCTTTTTTGCTTTTTTTGGTAGCCTTTTTATTTTCTCATTGTTATAGCCTGATCTTTCACACTTTCTTCCATGCTTATGAAAGCATGTCTCAGCATCTGACTTGACCCATGCTTAATTCTTTGCTTGCTCCTAACACCTGACTCCGGCTCATTTTCTAACTGATGTATAACCCCTAGTTCATCTTAAAGGACAGTAGTTGCAGGTTGGCTGGTTTTTATTTTTTAAATTACTTTTTCCTCTTTTCTGTGTGATGTCCTCATTAAAGTTTAGTCCCACTAAGGAGGGTTGCTTGCCATGCTGGGTCACAGACATTATGTGAACAAGCTGGAAAACTAATGAGCACTTTCTCCAATGACAGCCTTTGTGATTTAGCACCAATTCTAGTTTTTTGGTATCTGAAAGTTGGGTAAGGTTTCTCTTAGCAGAGGGACAAACAATTGGTCTCCCCATAAAAGTGTTTGGCTGGGAGGTTAGCTAAAAATTGGACTTCTGTAACAGTCTTCTGTTCCTCCACCATGCAATGTCTATTATGAATGTTGTGCAGGTGATGGTTTAATGCAGCAGAACTCCTGATCAGCTGGTTTTCAGATCTATTTTTCTTGTATTTAGTTTAGAGAGATACCAGTGATAATTTACTCATCTCCCTTTCTCCCTTTTTTTTTTGTTTGTTTGCTTGTTTTTTATCCTTACCTCTTAAGAGCTTCTCTGTTACATTGGGACTGTCTGAAGTTCTTGCAAATGGTGTCAAATGTCCTCAAGCCCTTGCATGTCACTAAAAGGAAAGCAGTTTCTTCTGGTCTGTACTTGGGGACTGGAGTTGGTTAAAATTTCTTCCTACCATAAAACTTTTTGTTCCTTTGACTTGTCATGGTGTTCAACTGAGTGAATAAAACCTGTTGTTAAAATCAAGATGGTGCTTGCCATCTTGCCCCCAACTGTTTAAAAGCTGAGCATACCTCCCTCCATATTTGCTTCCCTCTGAATTTGCATTAGAAACTCACAAAAACATTTATAGTTCACAACCAAATTTCACTCAAATCATTTCTCAATTGCTGCTGAGAATACAGAAGCAAAGGCTGATCTATGGCTTTGACTGCTCAACAGTACTGTCAAATTTAGAAAAGAGGTGTTAAGAAGTGGCAGCGGAACAGGAAAGAAGTCGGATCCATTACAGGAAGCAATTCCCACACAGATACTGCAATCCTCCGTGACCTCACTCTGTAGAGGATTTATTTTTGTAGTTTGTGTAGTTCAAAGGCATGTTAAAATGTAAATCACCAAAGTGTTGTGTCTAATAGGACGGTGAGTGTCCTATATATGAGTGAGGAGTGCTATGGAGATGAGTGAATTCTAAACATACTCTAAATATGCTCTAAATATGCAGCTCACAGGTAATTGAATGTACCTTTCAACTGGACAAGCATATGGTGATGACACTTGCTCAATCAGCTCATGGTGAATCTACAAATACCAGTTAGAAACTTCCCAGAGTCTTTACTGTAGCGCTTGAACTGGAACATCTAAGACACTGGTACAACACCTGGTAACTGTGATTCCCCTTCTCCTTTGCAGGTGCTGAAAAGATTGTTGCAATTATGATTGGCAACCTGAAAGGCATGGAGATCCTGCGGCGGATTCAGAGCGGCATGAGAGTGACAATGGTCATCGAAGTGGGGAAGAAGCGCAGCCTCTCCATGAATATCTTCACCATCCTTTTCATCTCCGTGTCGTTTTTCGTTGTTGCAGCAGCAACCTTGGGCTGCTATGTCTCTTACTCTGCTCGGAGACTCATTGTTGCAAGGGCCCAGTCCAGGGAGCAGGTGAGTCAGTGCCATTGATTTTTTTATATCCCCAGGCCTCCGTGGTGTGGATCTTAAGGGCAAAATGCTGGTTAAGCTCCAAAATGACTGAATTTGTTTGTTCCACAGGAAGGCATGTGATCTTTTAAGTACTAAGAGATACATCTTTGAGCAGCTTAAAACTTTCCTAAAGAACAGCAAAAAGTAAACTGTCTGGAGAAAACAGTTGACTGTGTTTAGTTAACTGTGTCTCCTACAAATTTTAGGCCCTGAACTGCAGTGCAGCCCTAATGCTGATGTATTGGAGGCTGTGAGGGAGCTAAACTGCTCTTAGCTGACCCTCACCCTTCCCACATAGCACTGCCCATGTGCCTGCTGTAACAGGAAACATGATGGAAGTGTGTCTGCAAAATGGGGCATGACTTTGGCCACAGGTTGGGAGGCTGCTGCCTGTTGAAAGCTGCTTTCTGACTGAAAGCTTTCTGAGAATTGCAGTAACAGCCTCAAAGAGAAGTTAAAAAAAAGCACTGTTAAAGTGCTCTTTAAACTCATGGAAGTGAGATGCTAATGACCTACGTATCCAAGTAACTTTCTTCTGTCCAATAATATGATCAGCTCATAGGACTAAAGCTCACAGCTTTGTCTTCAAAGTTTAATGCTAAACGAAGCTGGCCAGGAAAAACTGGGTGCCCTACATACTCTTTATTAAATCCAGTTGAAATGTTTCCTCCTTTAAAGGTATTTAACAGTGCAGTTGTGGAAGCCCAGCTTTATTCTGAGCTATCAGGCTTTCAAGAAGCTACAGATGTTATTAATGCCTCAGTGGTAGCTGCTACTGGGAAAATCCAGTCTGCTTGGCTAGCACCTTCACAAACTATTTCAGTCTTGGGCTTCGTGTGCAGAAGGAATTTACAGTAGATTGAAAAATAACATTGATAAATGACATGCCAGTTCCACATGATTTCAGCTGAACTGAAATCAAGGAGCCTTAGGAAGTGCTTTATAAAGTGTAAGAATAGGAGAAAACTTGTCTGCTGTCAGGGGGTGAAAATGTACTATTCTGTCAAAGTGAAACTCATAGACAATCCAGAATTGTTTTCAACTGTTTTTATGCCCTGGTATCTCAGACTGACCTCACAGATAAGCAAAAAGTAACAAGAAAGTGCTTGTTAGTGAAGGTGAACTACTAAAAGGTCGTGCTACAGTGTGCCCTGTTAGCCAGCTGATTGGATTTTTAGTGTAGACCACAGTTTAAGACTTTTAGCTTATTTGGCTCCATGAAGTACTGAATATTAGTCAAACAACTTACCAGCTTGCATGGTACATAGGTGGCTTTCCTGTCATCATTCAGCCCTTTGGAAACTCAGATTGCCTGAATTTCAATCTGTTAGTTGGTGGAGTAAAAGAGTGTGTTTTGTCTTCTTTCTTGCACAGATGCGGAAGGGTTACATGTTCTTTTGGGAAGTGTCTTTAGGGAACAGTCAAGTGTATTGATAATGAAGTGTTACAGATTCTCCCTCTTTTCGAAGTGCACTGAAAATCATGTTGTTTCAGCACTTCAGTGTTGCTCTGACTGCATCCCTTTACTGCTCTTCAAAGTCTCTGTCTGCTTTTTTGACCTTCCCTGTGGGATTATCTTGCTGTTGTGTGAGGAGTCTTTTAAGGGGTCAGTCAGCCACTGGAACCAAAGAAACACTTCTGAATGACTCTCTGGAGTGGTACAATGAGCTAATAGTGATATGTGATAATGATGTGCTGCAGCTTGTGAAGGGTTTCTTTAAAAATTGAGTGACTATTGAGAAGAGCCAGTCACATTGTCTTCTGGTCCAAGCGAGAAGTTTAGTAGCACATATGTCCCTACCACAGTTAGTTAAAACAGAGTGGCTCTTTCCTCATGAGCTACCTGTTTGCAACCTGCTAGTTCCTTCTTGAATGCATCTTTTCTTCTGGGCTTGAAATTTAAGTCCCCACCTCTGCAGTCTCTTGCTGCATCATGTGGTTAGTGAGCAAAGACAAGTGTGGTAGGATGGCTTGCTACCTTTTTAGTCAGCAGAGCACTGACAAATTCAGTTCCTCAATATAGTAACCTTTCTTAATAATGCAAAATGGCCCATGATATTATCAGTGACCTGGTTTCTAATTTCAGCTCAAATCTTTGCTTCCATTGATTTCATAAAGATTAGATGTTGCAGCTGAGAAATTACCTAACTAATGGCTTTGGAGGAGGTGAGTTGCTCAACTTTCCACAATTCAAAACTGTGTCCATGGCAGTGGGGAAGAACTTCCTTAGCTTACAGGAGAAAAGCAGGAGTTCCTGACCTCCTTAGAGCTTTCTTGTCTGCATTGCCATGACCATGCTCGTAGGGTGCCAGGAAGGCACTCTGCCCCCCTTATGCAGAAAGGGCTGGAGGTAAAATCATCAGTGTTGGACTGGGGAAGGCTGAGGACTAAGCGACTGCAAACCTAATTTTCCCAATTAGGTACCTCACTATTTCAACATACCAGAGCCTGGATAGGAGCTGGGACCTGACCTGTTTTGTAATATCTTGATTCTTTTTCCTCAACTTAGCTATTTTTTTTCTAGAGTTGCTGGGTTGGGACTTTCAGACTTCTAACATAATTAACATTTAACATTTGCTTGAAAAACTTGACTTTGCAAAATGCTTTGACATTCCAGGCTCAAGTATCCTGGTAGACTATTCAGTAAAAATCTTCCTCTTGCTTCCTTTCTCCATCCCCTGGAGGAGTGTTCTGCTGTACTTGCCAAAATCAATGTTAAAGGTGACTTTGCCATTGGTGCATTTAATGAAGAGCAATTAAACTGGTGCCTATGCAAAACTTAAAATATTGTTTCAGTAAATTATTAACAATGCAGCCAGTTGGGTCCTGTCTAATATGCTTGGCCTGCCACGAGATGTGTAGATGAGATACCAAATGAGGGAGTACATTCCTAGAAAGTTCAGTTTTCATTTAATAACAAGTAGTGGTGACAGTTCTGGCTATGTATGAGAAGTGCTAATATTGCTGCATTCTTCCTCTGTTGATGTTACCACATGTTGATTTTTACCACATTTGCTGCTCAAACTTCTAGGGGCCTCAGTAAAAAGCAGTACATGGCTGCTCTCTCAAACACTGACAAGGGGAACATCATTCCAAAGTTAACCATAAGTGACATACGGAAACATACATTCATGTCTTCAGCAAAAGCTTCCAAGAAAACTCATCTACTTCTTGTTCCTACAAAAATCTGCCTGAAAATGTGTTTGCATCCTCTACCTTTGGATTCTATCTGTCTCTTCCTTGATAGTTGTTAATAATTATCAGCTATTAAACTCTCAAAAACCTGCACATGGATGCTCTATCTTAGCTCACCAAAATAATACTGATACACAAATAGCTCATTTTGCACCAAGACTGCTTGACAGTCTCTCAGGTGACCGTATAAATCAAGTTGTTTGTCATTAAGTGCTTCAGCACAGGGAATCTTGTGCAGACTTGAATAGCCAGTCCTTGTGAGTTTATTACGTGTCAGCAGCAGCCTTCCACCCACTTGTCCTTTTGTACTTGTGCCACCAGCACTGCACTTGGAAAAGATTCATGTGACTGGGCTAAAATGCCTAAGGAGATGGAATGCTGGAAAGCTAACAGTGCGGGGCTCCTGCACGGAGCAGCTGAATTGGAAAGAGGCTTTTTGGTTAGCTGCAAAACTGAAGACTGGTCTGTCCCTGAGGTAAGTGTTGTGCTGGGACAGCAGTTCCAGAGCTGCCTGATACACCTCCGTGTCCCGAGGCAGTAAGTGCACCGACAGTCCTATTCTTTGTGTTGGTGGAACAGCCCCAACCTGTGACCTTTAAGCAGAGGAGTTGGCTCCTGGGCTAATTCCAGTGTTGCATTGACAGCTGGACACCAACAGTTGCCAGGCAAGCTGTAAATCGGTGGGGACAGAGGAGTAGTTGAGGGTGCGTTGGAGGTGAGTGGGCTGATCGGTGCAGAATCTCTCACTGTTCATCAGGACGAGAGTGTGTGGCAGGAAGGTGCCATAAAGTGAGTAAAACTATTGACTGTTGGACTCAGTGTTCGGTCTTCTGTACCAAGTCACTTTGAAGGCTTCTGTTTGTTTTGGTTGGGTCTAATCTGATCAAGAAGAAACCCTTGGAATTCCTGTGCTTGTGAAAAGGTTGGGTAAAAGCAAAGCAGATGCTAGTGCCTTGTTGGTGAATCATCTAGTCAATAACCACATCAGTATGTCCTGAAACTCTGTTTCATGGTGTCTTGAAATAGCATGGTCATGCTTACTTGGCTTGTTGTGATAACATCTGGGTTCTAAAACTGTTGCCTGCTTGCTGGTAGGCACCCGGGTAAGTATTAGTAACTTAATAGAAAATTGGCCGTGTTTAATTAACCAGGACTGCTTTCTGTCACAGCGACGACTACGGGCCAGGGCTAAGAAGGCCATTGAAGAGATGCAGCTGCGCACCTTGAAGGAAGGGGACAAGGTAGGACTGATCCTATGACCTCATGTACGTTATGGCACAGCCTTTGCACAGAGCCTGGAGAGTGGTCCATAGTACTGGAGCAGGATGCAGAAGTTTCTCTGAGCTCGTAACTGTTGGTGGCAGAGACAGTTCCTCTTTCAGACCGTGTCCTTTTCCAGGCTGCAAGACTTCCTTATATTCTTATAAATCGGGTTATTTTGTTAGCTGCTTGCTTGTAGTCTTGCTGAGGTGAGAGGTCCTAATTTTGCTGGCACGGATGCTTAAAGGTAAACTAGTATATCTAATCAGCTTCCCTGGCTTTTCTTTTTGTAACTAAAACTGGAGCTAGCAGTTTCTAAACCTCTACAGTACTGCCTCCAGTAATCCAAGCTGAAATTCTAAACCATGGGTTTAAACTTTAAATGCTTCTGTTGAAGTGTCATCTTGACTGTGAGTAATCCACACAGTGTGTTTATATAAGATTATATGTGGGAACATCTTGGATGACTTTAGCTAGACCCCTTTGTCTGCAGTAAATCTGATAGGAGTTCAGAGATAGCTTTCAAAGTCTGTTAATGCTATAAATTCATTTCACTATTTTAGGAGATTGGTCCAGATGGGGATTCCTGTGTTGTGTGCTTTGAACAGTACAAGCCAAATGACGTAATGCGTGTTCTCACTTGCAAGTAAGTTGTCTTCCAAACTGCCCCTTTACCCAAAATCTGTAAGCATGGCTGTTACTTGCTGTTCCTTCTGCTGTGCTAACAAAGCTCATCAAACTTTAATCAAGTTGTTACACAGCAAGCATTCTTGAATCTCTGTCAAAACAATGTTTTGAACAACAGGAACTGTGTAAATATGCTCTTTTAGTGTGCCCCAATGGCCTGTGTTCATAACTTCCCCATGAGCGGACTGACAGGCATCACTTGGTAGACCACAGTGCCCCTCAAGGGCATGCCAGGGCTTTTTAAAGATTTATTCCCTTGCTGATATATAAGAGTGTTACCACTAAATTGCAGGTAACTGGCAAAACGTTGCCCATTTCTTGTCCCTTAAGTTACTGCTTACTAAGGGGGTTGTGCTTCTGCTAAACTTGTTAAACCATATTGGCTTTTGTAGTTTAGAAGAAGCCATTTCTCTTCTTGTATGCATCCTCTGAAATAGAGACCAAAACAGAACTATAGCAGTTTATTTTTCTAGAATTCTCCCCTGTTGTATCTTACTGCTGTGGAAGCCCAGTAGTGTAGCACAAAGGCTGGGGTTGCTCCTAAGGTGAGGAATTAAGCTCCTTCAGGACTTAAGGAAAATTGTTCTGTGGGATTCCCCCTGTGCCTGCTGAATGGGACTGCTCTGGCCAAGCGTCTAAAAATCAGAGGGCTGTCATGTGAATTGCACGAATTGTGTACTGGAAGAGGTTTCATAACCTTTGGGGAGGGTTACAAAAAGCACTTGGAAAAATTTTGATGTACGAAAAAGTTCTGTAGAATAGCAAAATCTGTAGCTGGTGTTGTGTGGTGAGCGGTGCTGTCTGTCAAATGCTGTCAAATCTGAGCTGGAGTTCCCTTTACAGTTTTGCAAAGGCTTTCTCTGCTCCCAAGCAGTAGGACCTCTTAAGCTGTTTTGATAACACAAAGTTGGGCTGCTAGGATGTTATCAACCAAATTCCTTGATCTAATGCTTAATACTTTAGAAAAAAACAAAACTGAATAAGCTTTCAGGCATGGATGAATGCTTAATCGGTTGTCTTGTCACGTTTATGCTCATGAGTAGTCTTGCTTAGTAATGAACTAGGTGCCATGAGTACAGAAACTTTCAGACAAGCTCCAGATACTTCTGGCTGATAGGAGACCTGACTTCTCATTATTTCCCTATAAACCCTGATAATCTTGATATGAACTTGCAAACAAAGCATGACTTATTGAGGTAAGAGTGGAGTAACTTCTTCTGAACTTTGCTGCGTTATGCTTTGCTCTAAGATTGCTTTCCATACATTTGTGATGTTTCATTCCTCCCGGGCCCAAATGCAGCTCTAAGAGGCACATGCTTAAGACTGGATGGACTTAGTAATCTTCACCAGTGGTGATCTCTGCCAGTATCAGTCATATTAAATTCTCTCTCACACGAGTTATAAACTGATATTTACTGCAAGAACACGCTTGATTTTGATGGTTGACCTCAACACTGAGACTTTACTTGTTGAAAGCATTTAACTGTATTTATGAAAGAAGCAAGCAATCAAATGGTCCTGTGAGTCACACTGGTGGTATCTGAGTCCCTGGGGTGTGGGTGTTTGCCAAGGGCATTCTTGTCCAGAGAGTCAAACTGAAGGCATTTATAGTTGCAGATACACAAAACCAGTGGTAAATCCAAGGACTTAAAATAGTCAGGCATCCAGGAAGTTTCAGGTTGTACTCTAAACATTAAGTTGGTGCAGCTAGAAGGAAGTGCTGGTGATGTGGGCTGAACTGGAGAATCCTTGGATCCTACTGGGTCATGGGCTACTGAGCACTGGATGTGGTGATCTCTGCACTTGTCTCATAATAGAGCTGATTAATACTGAGCAGTGCCTGTCTGCCTTGCTGTTTCTATTCAGGCTGAGGGAACAGGCAGATTACAGGATTTCAAGTCATCCTCCTAAATCTGTGGCCTAATTTAGACCCATTGTGGAAGTGAATGTCTTAATAGAAGCATACATTTGCATCTGTGGTGGCTGAACTATATTTACTTTCTTGAGTGCACAGCCTGCCAAATATCCACTTGGAATACACAGTGATTGCATAGACAAAGCAAATGGGTGGGAGTACAGTTTATCTCGAGGACATTACTCTGTGAGATGATTTGTCTATGTAGTTCTAACAGAAATAAGTGCTATTTAGTCATCTGCATCTGCAAGACAGAGGTTAACCTTAAAGCTGAGGCTGAGACGTCAATAATCGTATTTAGTTAAATTATCAGCTGGGAATGTATTTGAAAATGGATTTGGAAGAACAAAAGCTTTAGATTGGTGTAGCAAAAATGATAATGCTGAATTCTAGCAAGTTATATCAAGATACTAATAAGCATAAACCAGCTACAGGCTGAGAGATCAACTATCTATAACTTTCAACTGAAACTTGAGGCAAAATAAGGTCGTCCACTCTAGAAGGAATAAATTCTCAGTGTTACCAAAGAGTTCTTCACGGGTGGCATATAAGCAGTCTTCCTGGTATGAAACCTAACCTGTTGGCTACCTTCTTCCACCAGCCATGTCTTCCACAAGACCTGTATTGACCCCTGGCTTCTGGAACACGGGACGTGTCCTCTGTGCAAATGTGACATCCTCAAAGTTTTGGGTGTTGAGGTAAGCCAGCATTCTGTCACAGTGGCAGCTGCCATTGTCAGCATTACACTGATGTAGTAACCACATCTTGAGCTATTTCTTGCTGCCTCTAGAGCACTGGTGGTAAGCCCAGGTGTTGCCATGTCAGTGGCCAGATGCTGCAGGACTGCTGTGTCCATTTTAGGGAAACCTGCAGCTGACCTGGTCTGAGTTGGTATCACCTAAAGCCTTGGGCAGAACGTCAGCCAAAGCTGACTGTCATGCGTGGAAGAATCGCTCTTAACTCTTGTGCTTGCAGCTAAGGATGTTTATCAAAGCTTCAGGCAGACTTCAACAGCTCATACTGTCCCTGAAACCTCTGTTCAGCTCCTCAGTACCCAGAGTCCTTGAAAAGTGAATGTGTTAGCATGGACATCATTCCTGGAACCACATGATTTCCTAGGATACATCAGGAATTTCTGAGGTGTTCTGTGTTCTTTAATTGCTCATTGCTGCAAGTGCCAGGGGAAACTGCTTTTGCCAATGCCTGACACTGCCCGGACCAGCTAAAACGTGTGCCAGAATTTGCCTGGGGGAGTCATATCTGCACTGAATGGAAGGAAGACTCTCTTTTTGTGGTACTGGGCAGTAAATGAGTGAAGAATGCAGAAGCTGTGTCTGAACTTCCCACTCAATTAGGCCATAACTGGTTTTCCCCTGGGATGTTGGAGGTTAACAGCAGAACTTTTATGCCATTTTATTTTTTTTATCTCTGGGTAAAAGTGCCCTGGACTCTGTCCTTGCAAGTATTGGTCTCCTGGAAAGATGTAGCCTCCTATCAAGTTTTAACTTAAACCATTTTCTCTTTTTTTTTCCACAAAGATGGATGTAGAAACACGGTCTGAGTCTGTGCAAGCCTCAGGATCCAGTGGGCAGAGACCTCTATCCACTGTCACTATGGTTAATGAAGATGATAATCTCAGTGAGACAGCATCATCTGGATATGATTCCGTACAGGGCCCAGAGGAATCTGCTCAGGAAGCACATGCACCATCAGAAAGTATGTCTACTTTTTCTTCTGTCTTGCTGAACTGCATTGCACTTAGTTGCTTAGGCTGTGAATTAGGGGGGTTTGCCGTAATAACATCTCACAAGGCTTGATCTTCCCTTTTGTTTTACACTTCATCTGACACTCGATCTTTGTTTTCAAATGAAACACAACCTTAGCATGAATTAAAAGATGAAACCTGTGAAAAGAGTAGTTAAAAAATCAGAGGCTTACTACGTCAAGGGCAAAGAGATTTTTCCAAAGATGTCCCTCATCTCTTTGTGGAGATTTCATTTGGATGAGTGAGTGTTGCTTTGCCACCAGATCTATCTGCTTTAAGTAGTTACTTATTTACAGAAAACTTATGGGGAGTCCGTCCTGCTCTAGTTTAGAGGGTGCAGGAGAGAGATGACAGGTACTTCAACTAAATTTCAGATTTTACCAGGGTTGAGTCATACTTGAACACTTTCAGAGAATTTGAAATTCAGTTAATTTGAAAAGACTGTCTGCTTTTCCAAATACTTAATCTTTTTGAACAATAACAAACTAAATGTCTTTTTTTGTGCTTAACTTTGCCAACACATGCTCAGTGTTGCTGTTGGTGTTAAAAATGGAAAGGTTCCAGCTAAACAAACAAAAGTAGCTATCCCCTGGATTGTGGCATGGTGTTGGGAAGAGGAGTAAGGGGCAAGCTTTCAGAGGTGAAAGAGATGCTCTCTTTCCTGGGGGAAGCCTACTTGACAGGAAAATGGGATTTGCTCCCTGCCTCCTGTGTTGATGTGTTGTTATACAGCAAGTGATGTGTGTATGGGAGTGCCCTATTCCAGCACCCCCATAGAGCAGAGGACACTTGCTATGAGCTAAGCACCAGAAGTTGAAATTGCATCCCTACAGGCAACTAGAGTGATGCTGGATTAGTTAGTTACATGGCTCAGGCTCTCGTGTATCCTTGCTTGGAGTGGGAAGGACACACAGGAACATCATCTGAACAAGGCCAATCTGTAGGGAGAAGGCCATCCTCTATGAACCAGTGTGGCCCCCACAGTTTATCCTGAACCTGGTCTCTAGGAGTTGGTCCTGATGCCTTCATCAGCTCTAAAGATACAAGAACTGACAATCTCCTAGTTGGATTTCATAGCCTCATAGGGCCTTCTGTGGCTTGAGCACACAACCTCTGCTTGCTCAGCACTACTGAGCTGAGCAGGTATCTCTAGAAATGACAGCTGGTGTCAAGAATGGGCTCACAAACTAAGGAGGGGCAGCAGAAGAGTGGTAGTTGGAGCATGGCCTTGGATTTCCAACTCTGCAGGAGAAGTGCTGGGAAAGGACCACTGCAGTGAGCTTCTGGAAATCAAGTGAGCTTTAAGGTAGTAAAGCTGGCTTGTGACACTTCTTAACTTGCCTTGACTTGGTTTTGTTCTGGACAGATGACAACACATCTCCTGTAAATGAAGAATCCCAGCCCTCCACTGTGACTGCCCTTTCGCAGGGTGACAACCCAGGTTTTGAGGGAGATGAAACGCCAGCTTCTGAGGGCAGGGTTGTTTGTGAAGTCACGCTCTAAGGACGTGCCCAGCAACACGGTGCAAGCCTTCTGCAAGGAGCTGCCTACTGCCATTCCATATATACCAAAAATTGCAAGACTGCTGCAGAAAATACTGCGTTGGCAATGTTTAGATAAATAGACTTGTTCAAATCACAATTGTATGGTTTGCCTTTCTTAAAACTGCATTTCCCACGTGAGTTTTAGCACTCTTCAGATAAAGCTGTCTTAAATATAAAGAAAACCAGCAGATTCTAACGCTAAAACAAAAGTTCCATCTTCAACAAAGCTTCTCTTCAGGGTTTGAGTTGTTTAAATGAGAAGATTCTTTATGTTGTAGCTGTCTCTACTGGGAAGTGTTTTGAGTTGGGTTTTTTTTGTTGTTTATTGTTTTAATTCAAGTGGATTTTCATTGTAAACAAATTAATTTTTGATCTGGTGTAATGCTTATTTACAACACACGAGGTTTTTTTGAACAACACTGTATTTAATGTTTCAGTGCACTAATTTGGTAGGAGAAAAGTGCGAACTAATGCTTGTAAAACTGGATTTCGTCCACAGTGTCTTTTGGTTCTCTAGGAAACCAACTGATTCTCTACCTCTCAACTCCAACCTGCCAACCACACATTCCTAAAGGGGAAGAAAAGAAAGCTGCAAGCTGACAGGCCAAATCTGACTTGCACAGTACCGTAAAGGGAACAACTGCAGGAACTTTTTAAGCCTTGTTAATGTTAAACAGTCTGAAAGATCCTCAAGTGACTTGGGGAGTTATAACCATCTCTAGCACCAGCAACATGCCAGAGTCCTTGCTTTGTGGGATGACTTCAGAAAGAGTAAACTGAAGATAAAAAGATAGATTCTTCCCAAAGGATCTACTGTGTTTTGTTCAGAAAATGATGCAGCCTCTGAAAGATGCTGCACTGTTGCTGTGTGTTGTCTTGCTCAAGTGCACAAGCTGCAGGGAGAGCTGACGTCCTGTGAGTGTGACAGAGGGTTGGAGAAGCTGTCTGCCACCTGTGTGGAGTTGGGATGGGGTCAAGGAGGAACACTGGGTGCCTCAATAGTAAGTGACTTGGCCTTGCCCAGCAAAGGTAACTAAGGACGTCTTACAAATGCACTTTATTTTTTTACCTCTGTCTCTCTGACTAGTTTCTAATATTAGCAGGACTTTGCCTTAAAGCCTGCAATAAAGAACTTCAGAATCTGGAGGGGAAAAGCAATGCATTTTATTAGTTATAGTACAAATTAAATGGTTGTAAATATTTCATAATTTGTATTGAATTTGAATATGAAAATGTAAATAAAACTCTATTTTTGATGATCCTGACTGACTTGAAATATTACCAACTCTCATATGGAAGCAGATGCTGAATTTGCCCTGTCCCACAACCCTGAAACTCAAAAATCAGCCGTGTTTGCTCAAAGTAATTGGACTAAGGAGTGCTAATTATGTGCAGGATGCTACCGTTACATGGATTGAAATTGTATTGAGAGCTTAAAGCTAGTAGCTGTACTCAATATAAAAGAAAGCCAAGCAGTTTAGGGTGTGTTCAGTGAGCTGCTTGATGTACCTCTGAATTGTTCTTGGAGGCATGTTCAGCACGAGGCAGTCTGCCATGAACTCTTCAGATCAGACAGGCTGCATCTCACTTTTCCTCTGTCAGGTTGCTCAGCATCCCTTCCTTACTCCAAAGGCTATGCTTGCTTTGAAGAAAGAGCATTTTAAAAATTACTACATGTCCTTTGTTCTGTGCTGTACTATGAGATGTAGTAAAAGCTTGTCGCTCTCCTGACCGATTTGGTAGCAATTAAGTCTTGTGTTTCTTTGTAGCTCAGTTCCAAGTCTAGTCTAGAAAACTCTAATTGCAAAGCTGACTATAGTCAGACTCCACTCTGAAGCTGTAATTTGCCTTTCTATTCTCCCTCTGAAGTGCAGAGTAGAGAAAGCAACAGCCAAGCAGTAAATGTGCAACCCCTGAGCACTTACTTTCATTTTCGTTTCCATTTCACAAAGTTTCCATAAATTTATTGTGGTGTGTATGCTGTAATGTAGTAGAATCTCATGAGGATACACTGTCATGAAATCGCTGCCAGTCTTGTGTTCAACTGGGGGCAAGATTTGATGTTCAAGAAAAAAAAAGGGGGGGGGAATTCAGATAAATTCAATGCATCGAAAGGCACTTTTTTGTTTTGTTCCAATCATTTGTGTTGCTTCCTTTAATATAATTCAAGCTTTATATTTACTGTCTTTTAAGAGCAACAAACTTGCCTTTTTCCCAGTACTCGTATTTCTAAGGGTAATGTGGATGCACAAGGAATGCTCTAGTGGAGTAGTAGGGGGTGCAGCAGCTCACACTGATGAACCTGTACTGCTGTAGGATCAGATGTGTATGTGTTCCATCAAGACATGGGCTTGCTTGGAACTCAGGGCACTTATGCTGATTTTCAGAGACTTATATCAAATGTGACCTACTGCTAAAGGAACAAAGCAGCATTTGTATCTGTATTTGAGCTAGGCAGAACTCAATGGTTTTCTAGTTTTGCAGCTCAACTTGTGAGTCTGCCATGTTCTTGTCTGTGCAGATTTGTTTGTAACTAGTAGCTATGCAAGGGGCTTTGTTTAAAAATGAAAGTGTAACTTTCATGAACACCATCTGTGATACTGACCTTGGGTCTGTGGCTGTCAGACTGCTTTAAAGAAATTTCAAAGCTCCACTCCCACTTTGTACTTCCAAGTTTCCATGGATAGCAGCTGTCTTTCTGACCCCGCTTAGGGGACTGTGCAGCAGATTTTTCATTTGTTTTTGGTGATGCTACGGGCTTGAATGGCTCTGGGTCATGTATACATATATATGAGCACTGTCGCACAACAGACTCTTTCCTCTAAGCAAGAGGCCAACAGGAATGTGCCTGAGGATTCCCAAAATGCAGTACAAACCTGTTGTTATTGTGCAGTAGTTTTGGGGTTTGCTACAGATACACTAACTTTGTGTGTAAAATAATGGAAATTATGTGCCTATGAGTTTTAACAGTTGCTAAAATGTCCGCCTGTTGACTCAGTTAATATTCCCATTGAGTCACACAGGCATGTCAGTTCTTCTGCCCCCAAAGAGCAAACAACAGGCTCCAGCATCATCTGGAAGTGTTTACTCATTGCTGTCACCTCTCTCCCCCAGGAAAGCTCTGATCTAGACACTCCACTTGAACATTTGTGTGCTCTCAAAGGGGGACTGGGAAAGATTTTTTTTTTTTTTATCCCTGCAGGAGTGGAAGCTTTGTCACCTGGGGTTGGATTACTGTGCTGTCTTGTAAACCAGGCTTTACAACAGCAGGACTTCATTTTAAATCCTAAAGCAAAATACCAATTTCTAATATTGAGGAAAACTTTCAGGTGTTCCTATAGAAATATAGTTTCAGCTGAGATTTTTGCTTAAGGGAAAATGCAGGACTTATGATGGGGCTGCAAACAATAAAAGCAGTTTGAGTCACAAGGGCAGTTGGACTCTTCCCATAAAATGGACAGACTTAGTCTATCTCAGCCTTTAGATGGAAAGATCTGCACTTCTCAAGTGACTTAGTAACAGTTGGACAGGATACCTCGGCTGTGTGATTTAACATAATATCCTTGCATGTTTAACACACACCAGCACAGAAGGTAGCCCTGTCTTTTCACCCAGGTTTAAACTCATGTTTTTCCTGTGCAGATTTGAATGGGGCTGCACTCCTGCAGCAGTGTAATGGCTGGCAGGTTGGAAGAGACCAAAGAAAATCTACTGGCTTTGGCAATTTAATTTTGGTTTCAAGAGAAACTTGAAACTAAATTGTAGCATTCATGCACTGGTTGTTCAACTGTTAAATATGCAGAATGCAGCCAACACTTATTTATATAGCTATTTATTTATATGATATTGACTGTGGTTATTTGAAGGAAGTAATTTACAATTTCTAGGAGGTCTTTAATAAGTGAAATAAAAATTCTGCAGCACTAAATGGATCTTTGTTGCTGTAGAATGCATTGATTAGACTGTAGCGTGATTATGCACTGATTAAGAAAGTTTTCAAGTGGCTATAAATAAATTCCTCCAAGCTGATAGAAGGGCACTCTTTGCATCTTAACACTATTTGATTAAGAATCAAATGCCTGAGGGAATGGAAAAAAGGAAGACATCCAAGACCTTGAAACAAGGAGAGGAAAACAAAACAGACATTTTCCAAGCAGTAGCATTTTACTGTTAAATATTTATCCAGTTAACAAAGTTTGAGTCTTACATAAGCAAGCAATGTATGTTCTAATGTGTCCAGCGTGTGTGAGTCACCAAAAGGCAAGCTAAAAGGGTAGGAAATGCCAAGGGCATCTCAGAAAATCTGTGTTAAGTCCTTAATTTCTTATATCCAAGGGCTTGTCTAACTGTGGACAATGAAATGGTAAACACTCTCTCTGGGAATGCTCTTAGAAGAGCAGGATCTGGGCAGGAACCGTTCTGTTGGTTCAGCTGGTAAATCTGCAGCACTGTCTGTTACTCAGGTGGGGGATGGAAGAAACCGCCTCACGAAGAGCTGTGTGCCAGTGCATGTGGGAGTTGTTTGCCTTGTCTCATTAATGTTTGATCTGTGTTAGTTACCACATGCTGGCTAATGACTTCTATTTAATTTTTCCTTTCTAGTAAAGATAGAGCACCAGAAATTTGTTGCTTCCTATTCTGTTACAAAAACAGGTAAGAGAACAGTATTAGCTAAACCTACATTCAGTCCCAAAGGTGAAACTTTTTAATACTACAGCTTCTCTTGCTGTGGTGCAATGAGTGATTGGAAGAAAAGAAAAAAAAACGTTTCATGCCAGTACAATTCACCCAGTTTTGAAGCCTCCCCATGAGTTAAATGTAGCTGCACACTCAGGTCTGCTTTCACACTGGTGCCTTTGAGTAGGTGGTTGTTACACAGCTGGAACTGGACAGGCATTGCCAAACAGATTCTGTGAGTGCTTGGCAAAACCTTGCTGGGCCTGTGCTCACAAATAGACCAGTGCTGGCACCAGCTGTTTTGGTAGTGAAGTGCTATTGAAAGGCATGAAGGAAGGCAGGATAAAGCAAAAGTGCCAAGATTGCAACGTGTAGTTAGTGCATGATGTGCACAATTTTTTTTAGAAAGAGCTCAAATTAGAGGCTGAGTTTAAACAATTGTGTGCTGGATTTTTTTGTATGATACACAATCAATAAAGCATTATCCTTGAAATCTTAGGAAGGTCAATTATGCTGGAAAGAGAGTGCTAAGGGAAGGAAACTGCAGGGAAGTTCCTGGGAAACAGGAAGATTTACTCAATTCAGTTGTAGCAAATGACAGGTTCTGTCAGGACCAGGAGTGAATCTTGCATGGAGGTAGGAAAAGACAATAACTCTGGGAAGTGTCCAGCATCAGCAACCTGGATCAGAGGAGACAGTGGGGCTTCCACCCCTGCAAAGCTTTTGTTTGTGCTTTTTGTCAGCTCCAAAAGATACCATTTAGGAAGTATAGTGCTTTCAAGTGTAAGGCTGCAGGGAGACATTTGGAGCTCCTTGGGACATAGTAAAGAGATTGGAGAAGAACCAGCAAGAGCAGGGGCTCAGTGACAGGCAGACTGAGCAGCTTGGTGGCTGTGATCCTGACTTTTTGGGAAGCTGGGGATTATGCTGTGCTGACCAGTGTCCATACAAAGCAAGTCCTGAGGTCATCCTGCAGCCTTGGGAAGTCCTTGGCTGCCAGGTATGTATGGCAGAATAGTCCTAGCACCTGATTTTTTGAAACCAGGATGTGAGGGAACTACTCTTTAAATCTGCTCTTTTTGCTGGTGGATGAGTGGCTGGACATGATCCAGCAATGTGCACTTGGAGCCCAGAAAACCAAATTTGTCCCGGGCTGCATCCAAAGCAGGGTGGGGATTCTGCCCCTCTACTCTGCTCTGGTGAGACCCCACCTGGAGTGCTGCAGCCCTGGGATCTCCAGCACAGGAAGGACATTGACCTGCTGGAGGAGGAGGCCAGCAAGATGATTAGAGGGACAGAGCACCTCTCCTAGAAGGAAGGGCTGAGAAAACTGGTATTGTTCAGCCTGGCTTTAGGGTGACATAACTGGGGCCTTCCAGTACTTGAAGGGAGCCTACAAGAAAGGTGAAGAGGGACTTTTTAAAGGACAAGGGGGAATGGCTTTAAACTGACAGAGAGCAGATATACATTAGATACTAAGAAGAAACTCTTCTTGGTGAGGGTGGTGAGGCACTGGCACAGGTTGCCCAGAGAAGCTGTGGCTGCCCCATCCCTGGAAGTGTTCAGGGCCAGGCTGGATGGGGCTTTT